TTCCATCCCTAGTGCGGATACTAGGAGGTCCAGATATTCCAGTTCTCCTCCCTAATCTATTTACACTGTCCATGACAACCCATACCTTCCCCGCTGCTTGGAAGCATGCTGTAGTCCTACCACGACATAAACGAGGATCCCGTCTTGACATTGACAATTAGCGGCCTATCAGCCACACACCCATCGCATCAAGAGTTATGGAGAGACTGGTGAAAGCGGAAATTCTTAACTCTTTTGCCTCGTAATCACATTAATAGGTCTTAACACGGGTTCCTGCCCTCGAAATCCTGCCAGACTTGTATGTTTGAGTTTTTTTAACAACGTCACTGACGCGATAAACATAGGGCATAAAGTGGTCATCATCTTCCTCGACATGAAAAAGGCATTCGACCGCGTTCCACACCTGAAAATACTGACCAAACTCGCCTCTTTTGGCATCGCCGGGAAGCTGCTCTCCTGGTTTGCACCCTACTCATCAAATCGAACACAATCAGCGAACCTGGGTGGCACGCAGTCTTCAAAAAAGCTGTCACCAGCGGAGTCTTTCAAGGAAGTGTCCTGGGCCCCATGCTCTTCTTACTCTACGTCAATGACATCTTCCAAGTCTTCCGCTGGGGAACGCCATACCTATTTGCAGACGACATCAAAGTCGTATTTTCCTTCGTCTCCGATAATATGAAAGATAACCTATCCACAATACAAAGAGACCTTAAGGCGCTAGAAAACTGGTGCGCAATATGGAATCTCGAATTTTCCCCAGGAAAAAGCAACATTCTCTCTTACAAATGCACCGTGCCACCGAATACCCTTACTCTCAATGGCGCTCCTCTTACCGTTAGCCACTTTGTTCGTGATTTGGGGGTTCAATACTCCAATACCTTTAACTTTGCGGAACAGGTAAGCTATAGTGCAGCTAAAGCTAGGTCGTTAATAGGCTATATCTTCAAATCCATGTCGCTTTTGGAATCTCGATTGACACTGTATAAAACGTGCGCTAGGCCTATTCTCGAATACTGCTCCATAGTCCTTACGAACTCACGCAAGTGCGACAGGATTGCACTCGAGAACGTACAGCGTTCCTTCACCAAACGTCTATTGGGCTCAAACATGCTGAACTATCGTAGTCGATGCAAACAACTGGGACTGGACCCGCTGTGGCTACGTAGGCTAAAGATAAACCTTACGTTTCTATACAAACTTAAACAAAAGCCGGAAACGAACCTGACACGACACTTCCGAACGGAAGGAGATACCCGATATCATCTGCGCAACGCGACCTTTTCATTCAGTCTGCCGGCTGCTCGTTGTGGCATACGACATAACTTCTTCCTTTATAGATACGCGGACACCTGGAACAAATTACCTCTGCAAATCCGATCATCTATGACCAGTACACACTTCAGCAATGCTATACGGAGATTCCTCGACGTAAACACAGTCTCCGAACTATTAAGCCTCAAAGTGACGGAAGACGAGCTATGGGAGACAGGACCAAACAACCTCTAGCGAATTAGCCTACATCCCCTTTTTAATGCTTTATTACCAACAGTTTCCTACTTCATTTTAACCTCGCATCACGGCTGTTTCTGATACCTTATTCGCACGTCTGCTCTCTTTTGTCCTTCCTATCCCTACCTAGACGAGACTGCATCAAGACTTCCATCTCTTTGATCCAAATATTTCACTTACTGTTCCTTCTAGAACGTTGAGATTTACATCCTTAGCCGCATCTTTGCTTACTCTACTCCTCCCTTATGCTTAACCCGACTCTGTGTATATTGTATTCGGCACCTCTTCTGGTCCTTATCGCAACTCTTCAATAGTGGCCTAAGTACACATAACGCCTGTGACAAATCCTAGGCCTCGCTAGATTCTCTTTCCTACTATCATGCTTCTCAGCTCACTTCAACGCCTCCCTCTCTTGCTTGGCCTCTCTTTTGGTCCATATCGCAACTGTTCAATGGTGGCATAGGTACCACTAGCGTCAGCGCAAAATCCTAGGCCTCCTTTGATTCTCTTCGCTACTGTGGCACTCATTCTTAAAACTTTTCGACTAGTCCGGCCTCTCAGGCCCCAAATGCCCATAGGCCTCAAACCAAGGCCTCTTTTCATTTGAACATCGGCTGCCATCAACGAAGGTTCTCATTTGTAAAAGTAACAACCTCATGATACTCGTCTCCGTCTGATACATTATCTGCATGCTTGGTCCCCCTACCGAAAACGAAAGTTCCGGTCCTTGATTAGTTTGCCTCTCGGCTCCACTCTCATGCTTCTCAGCTCACAATTACGTCCCCTCTCTTGTTTGGCCTCTCTTTTGGTCCATGTCGCAACGGTTCAATGGTGGTTTACGTTCCCATAGCGTCAGCACAGCATACTCGGCCACCTTTGATTTACTTTCCTACTGCGCCTTGCACTCTTAAACCTCCTGGACCACACCGGACTCAGGCTCTTATTGCCTATAGGTTTCAAACAAAGGCTTCTCTTCCTCTGAGCATCGATTAAAGTTCTCATTGGCATAAGAAACGGCCTCATGATACTGGCCTCCGTCTGGTACATTATAAGTATGCTTGGTCCCCTGCAAATTTCAACTTCAGGTCTCCGATTGACTTTTGTCTCTCGGCTTCACCATCATGAATCTCAGCTCACAATTAGGTTCCCGTCTCTTGTTTGGCCTCTCTTTTGGTCCATATCGCATTGGCTCAATGGCGGTATAGGTGCCTCTAACTTCAGCGCAACTTACTAGCCCCCGTTTGATTCTCTTTGCTGCTGAGGCACACATCGTTAAACCGATTGGACTACTCCGGCCTCTCAGGCTCCAAATGCCTATAGGTCTCAAGCCAAGGCCCCCTCTTCCTCTGAGGATCGGCTGCCATCGATTAAGATTCTCAATCGTTTAAGTAACGGTCTCATGATTCTCGTCTCCCTCCGATTCATTATCTGTACGCTTGGTCCCCCAACGAAATCGGAAGTTCCGGTCCTTGATTAATTTTGCCTCTCGCACCACTACCATTCTTCTCAGCTCACTCAACGCCTCCCTCTCTTGCTTGGCCTCTCTTTCTGTCCATATCGCATTCGTTCAATATTGGTGTAGGTATCAATAACGTCAGCACAACTACCTAGGCCTCGTTTGATTATCTTTCCTACTGTGGCACTCATACTTAAACTTTTTGGACTAGTCCTGCCTCTCAGGCTCCAAATGCCTATAGGCCTCAAGCCAGCTCTTTTTTTGAGGATCGGCTGCCATCGATTAAGGTTCTCAATCGTATAAGTAACGGCCTCATGATTCTCGTCTCCGTCCGATTCATTATCTGTACGCTCGGTCCCCCTACCGAAATCGAAAGCTCATGTCCTTGACTAATTTTGCCTCTCGACTCCACTATCATTCTTCTCAGCTCACAAGTATCGTCTCCCTCTCTTGTTTGGCCTCTCTTTTGGTCCATATCGCATCGGTTCAATGACGGTATAGGTACCTCTAACGCCAGCGCAACTTACTAGCCCCGTTTGATTCTCTTTGCTACTGTGACACTCATTCTTAAACCTACTGGACTTGTCCGGCCTCTCAGGCTCCTAATACCCATCGGTCTCAAAACAAGGCCTTTCTCATTTGAGCATCGGCTGCCATCGGCAAAAGTTCTCATTGGTATAATTAACTGCCTCATGTACTCGCCTCCGTCTGATACATTATCTGCATGCTTTGTCCTTCTACCGAAATCGAAATTTCAGGTCCCTGGTTGAGTTTTGCCTCTCGGCTCCACTCTCATGCTTCTCAGCTCACAATTACGTCCCCTCTCTTGGTTGGCCTCTCTTTTGGTCCATATCGCAACGGTTCAATGGTGGTTTAGGTTCCCATAGCGTCAGCACAACATACTAGGCCACATTTGATTCACTTTCCTACTGCGCCTCGCACTCTTAAACCTCCTGGACCACACCGGCCTCAGGCTCCAATTGCCTATAGGTCTCAAACAAAGGCTTCTCTTCCTTTGAGCATCGATTAAAGTTCTCATTGGCATAAGAAACAGCCTCATGATACTGGCCTCCGTCTGGTACATTACCTGTATGCTTGGTCCCCTGCAAAATTGCAACTTCAGGTCTCTGATTGACTTTTGCCTCTCGGCTCCACCATCATGAATCTCAGCTCACAATTACGTTCCCCTCTCTTGTTTGGCCTCTCTTTTGGTCCATATCGCATCGGTTCAATGGCGGTATAGGTATCACTAGCGTCAGCGCAACATCCTAGGCCTCCTTTTATTCTCTTTGCTACTGTGGTACTCATTCTTAAACCTTTTCGACTAGTCCGGCCTCTCAGGCCCCAAATGCCCATAGGCATCAAACCAAGGCCTCTCTTCTTTTGAGGATCGGCTGCCATCGACTAATTTCTCATTGGTATAATTAACTGCCTTATGTGCTCGCCTCCGTCTGATACATTATCTGCATGCTTGGTCCTTCTACGGAAATTGCAATTTCAGGTCCCTGGTTGAGTTTTGCCTCTCGGCTCCATTCTCATGCTTCTCAGCACACAATTACGTCCCCCTCTCTTGTTTTGCCTCTCTTTTGGTCTATATCGCAACAGTTCAATGGCGGTATAGGTATCACTAGCGTCAGCGCAACATCCCAGGTCTCTTTTGGTTATCTTTCCTTCTGTGCCTCTCATTCCAAAACATTTTGGACAAGTCAGTCCTCTCAGGCTCCAAATGCCTATAGTCTTAAACCTAGGCCTCTCTTATTTTGAGCACCGGCTGCCATCGACTCAAGTTCTCATTGGTATAAGTTACAACCTTATGATACTCTTCTTTGTCTGAATCATTATCTCTATGCTTGGTAACGCCTACCGAAATCCAAATTTCCGGTCTCTGATTGAGTTTGGCTCTCGGCTCCACTATCATGCATCTCAGCTCACATTAACGTCTTCCTCTCTTGTTTGGCGTCTCTCTTCGTTCATATCGCAACTATTCAATGGTGGTATAGGTACCACTAGCCTCAGCTCATCGGCTGCCATGCAATTTTAATTCTCACATCCCCGTCTATTGGACTGATGGCTTTCTTATTCCACCAGCGCCAGATGCTGAGCACTTGAACTTCTTTGGGTCTCATCCACTCCTATGTTTAACCATACTCTATTGTATACTTTTTCTGCACCTCCTCTCGTCATCGCATATCTTGGGATGAAAACTTGGCAATTGGCGGTGCTGTCCGTATTATTTCCTTACCCTTGGTCAATTCCGGAGCCGGCACCACTGTCGTTTTCTCTCTACAGATGTCGCAAGTATTGCTGTCTGTTTTCTCTCTTGTATTCCACACTGTACACCTATCAGACTATGCTGAGCCTAATAAAGCGTGCCGCTCCTGTATACTAACTAATCAGGTTGCCAGCAACTCACCAATTAGTGAGTCATAACTAGCAGTCTATTTGACTTCAACGTTCCACCGTGGATGTCCACATCAGAGTGGCACACGTAGCATCTTTTGCGGCTACTGCTCACAATACTGATATTCTAGGTCCCCTTCAGCGCTGGCCCTACAACCATTTTCTAACTAAACCTATAGTATTCAAGCCCTTCTCTCTCCTATTATTAAAGTTGAAGGCCTGTCAGCAAGCAGTTTCTTCCACATAACTAACCCGACTCCCAGTATCACCCTTTCCTGTCGTATATTTGACCTGTTTGCTGCACTGTAGAAGTCCCTATCTTTTTCCGCTATTCGAGGTCCCTTTAGGGCTAGCTTTGCAACCGCACTGTCGCTACAGTTGTAGTATATAAATCCCATTCTCGTCACAAATTTGACACTCCATCTCACCCCTTCACCCAGCTGTCTAGCATCCGATTGCTGAACATGTTGCGTTATTATTTTCATGGCCTCAAACCCGGCGTAATAACTTCACTGGCTCTCGTACATGTTCGAACGATAAGCTCTAGCACTGTCAACAGATCGCTCAACTTATATCTTACGCGCTTATTAAACCACTCACTATGTTCTTCTGATTCCCTCAACTCATTTACCGGTTAACAACGCCTGATACTCACGGTTCCCAAACAGGACAACTTTTGCGTACGCTAGGCCACTTCGGCCAGCATCTTCCTCTCACATTCAGCAAATATCAGGTCTCGTGCTACAACGCAAAACTACGGATACGGATATGATGTACAACATATACGGTCACTCCATTGCTTTCAGCCAGCACAACTTTACCATAAATTTTATATTTATACAATAACATAGTCCTGTTCAATTTTGTTGGCAGTTTGCTCGGTCCGTTTTCTTCTCACCCTTGTTCTACAGGATAACATTACCTGCACGGAACACCGCTGAAGACGTACCTGCGACGCTCCCATGGGCACGGATTCAATAAAGAACAAAGAAAAAACCCGCACTTCATAATCATGACACACTAAAGAACCTAGGAAACTGATCAATTCAATACAAGTCACCTGAGTCGTCCGACTTCAACAGCTCCAACCACTTGCACTGGACTCCGAAGGCGACTACGCAGCCATAGGAAACAAATTGGCGTTACGTGACTGCGAATATCCGCGAGGGTAATCGGTCAGATACAATCTTGCCAATGTTATATCACCAGCCGGCAGTGTTCCAGGACGTGGTGGGTCTTCGTCTGGCAAGCGTTTTCCCTACAAAAAGCCACAAATGTCTGTTTAACAACACTGCGACGTGGCGGATGTGACTCGCCACTCAATAAAGTCACCGCCCCTATCACATTGGCAAGTTGACCGACACCACATTTACAAGTTCTGTGCATATATCGGCTCTCGCACGAACACGCCTACATATCTGATTAGTGACATGCCACTATTCTTAAGTATTTTTCACCCGTTTCCTCATACTTCACTCACTGACCTACATTGCTTACGGGACCTCATCGGACTAGTTCCTCATCAACATACCATATAAGTGATCTGAATACTATCTTTACCTCTCGCATTCTGTGTACATAGACTACATACAACCTTTGGGCTCTATGGGCCCACACTACTGTCTCCAACTGTACTACTCCCACTGTTGGTGCTGCTTATTCTGCTATCATGTACAATAATGCAATATGCTGATCATGCCCAAAAGGCGTGTCTCGCTTTGTCGAGAATAAAATATTTATTTATTTATTTATGTGCATCCTGTCTGTGTCAAACCGCTGGCTGACATAATTTAATGCCCTGTCCTGATGAGGTTCAGTATGTCGCTAGGCTAATTTAGGCTACCAATTGCCTGGAAGAAGGTAAGAGTTGTAGCACTATCTAATGGAGGAATACAACGCCATATCTGTCAACTGCGGGCCCCGTAGGTCTAGCCAGCGTTTTACTCAAATGCTTGGAGAAGCTTATTCGAAAATGAATTTGTGAACATTTAACCGCAAATAACTCTATTGGAGCCATGCAGCATGGTTTTGGTAATAAGCAGTTATGCCTTACTCATGTTTTGTGTTTCACAGTTGCAATAACTAGCTGTCTTAATGAAGGAATCTCCGTTGAAATATGTTACCTCAACTTTAACAACGCCTGTGACTCCGTTAACCACTGCTACTTACTTGCAATTATGGTATCGTTGGGCTGCATCTTCTACGCTTGACTGTGAGTGCGGCGTTGCTTGGCGGTTAAGCCTTTCACGTTAGGGTCAAAGAAACTAGATGACGCAGCGTCCATTCTCACTTCGGTGTTCCCCAAGGTTCTATTTTGGGACCATGGTGGTTTCACATGTTGATAGACCACTTGGCTCTAATCTCCAGTACCCCTGTTAACATTTGTTTATGAGCTGAAGGTCGTCAGCAGGAGTAATCGAGGCATATTGCCCAAAGCCCTTCGCACTGTAGTGTATTATTCGGTTAAATGGGATCTGCGCTTAAATGTCAGCAAATGCCAGTTACTTACTTTTCGCAATGAATGGCTTACGGTGCTGAGGTCTGTCGAATCTCTAGATTTGCGACATGTATAGGAAGCACACGACATATACATCATTGTGGAGAACAACATATATCCCATAGCGCAATGTAGATATGCTGCCAACAAAGCGCGGACTGAGCCATTCCGAGCCGAAAGACCTTTGTGCAGCACTAGAGCATAAGTTTTTCTTCCCTTTTACAAAGCGTTGATAAGTCTGCAACTAGAATACTGTGTACGGGCTAAAGCACCGGACCAGCGAACGAAGTTGCCTGTAAAGCAAAAGTGTAAACACTGGCGACTAGGCTGATTGCGGTTGTAGATGAAAGGTTATACGCTGAAAGCCTAAGGAACTTAGGTCTGTATTCAATGGAATGACGCAGAATATGGCGGGATCAAATAGAGACGTCACATTCTGACCGACGTGGTTCACCCAGGTTTTTCAAAGCATTGGACCCGGTTAATCACGCAGTCCTCTTAAATGACCGAGCTAGTTTGGTGGTGGACCAGCGAAAGATCCACTAGCTAAGTACCTAGCTATCCGGGCGCATCTACCAAGTTCGTGTAAATGGCGCGCTCTCCATCGTTCCGGCTGCGAGGAACGGTGTGTCCCATGGGTCTATTCTCGGGCCTCTGCTGTTCGCTTGGTTGATTAACGACCTACCGTCTTCCATTAGCAGTCATCTACTGTTCTACTTGAAAGATGCTAAGCTATGGCGGCCTACCCGCGAACCGAGAAATATGGGGTGTCTCATGTGTGACGTGGATGATGCCTACTCCTGGGCCTCAGAAAACTTGCTCTCGTTCGACAGCGTCAAGTGCAATGTACGGCCGATCGGACAAGGTGCGAGCACTCCGTACAGTGCCTGCAGCATGCGTCTTAAAGCCACGTGCAATGAATTTGCCTTAGGCACTATCATAACCGCAGAGCTGATCCCGGGCGTTAAAGTAGTTGCACAGGCTAGAAAAGCCAGCGTGCTCCTGGCACCCATTGGGTATGCATTAGGTTGTTCTCTAGCGAAACAGTTATCTGCCTCAGCAGCACCTTGGTACGCCCGCTGTTGGAGTACTACATAATGCTCCAACCGCCGTATCTGAAGAAGGACGCGGCTCTGCTGGAAACCGTCCAACGCAGAGCCACTAAGAGCGTGGAGGGATTATCCCACCACTAGTACGAAGTTTGCCTTGTGGCCCATGAACTCTTCCCACTTAAATATAGTACGCTTCGTGGTGAAAGCCTTCTAGCCAATTCTATCCTGACTAACAACTTGTTCGCGCCCGCACAGACCACTTAAGGGGGCACCCGCTCAAACTCATGACACGCAGTAGTCAGCATCAGTGCCCAAGAGCCAGCTTTAGGGTGCGTATCGTCTTCGTCTGGAACGCCCTGTCTGAAATTATTGTACTGACACGTAATACAATGGTCCTCAAACAATGCATAGATACTTGGCGATTGCTTCGCTGGCATTTCACGTTGAAAATCTTTGGTCATTCGCTAAGTTGGCTGGCGGTGTCACTATATGCTCGCGCCTAATAGGCCTGTCACGCATTGCACGAGAATAAAAAGTTTATTGCTTTATTTAATTACTTTTGACACGCTAGTTGACGGCACTCTTCTTATTTAGCTCGTAGTAAAGTTTACATAACTGTCCCACTCTCTGCCTCCTTTATGTCCCCCTACTGCCGCGTCTATGCCCTCAGTGTCAAAGCAATAACATTACAAACGTCGGCCGTGAACCTGCACACTAGTCCCTTGCTTCCAGGTAGACACCTCACAAGCAAGACGATGGAGACGTGTGCCACTCACCACTACCGAGTCGCAATATACAACACTTGTAACCTACCGATAACAACAGCACCTTAGCGTAAAACCTTAAGGCACAACCATCGAAAAGCAAAGCTTACTCGTTCTGCACAAACCCATGAAACCCATAAAAATGATTAAGGGTTTTTAGCGGTATCCGGTATACTAAACTACCTGGGTCAGCCATGTCAGATAACCTGCTCTCGCTCACCAGTGGGTGTCAACTTTTCTGGATGGACGGGAACGGTGTATTCGTGTGGGAAGCAGTCTTTCGTTTCTACAAGCTGTACTTAGCGGCGTTCCACGAGGCTCTGTCCTAGGTCCACTACTTTTTTCTGTCTACGTGAATGACTTGCCGAAGGAGCTTGAGGTACCATCGCTCTTATTTGCTGATGGCCTAAAGCTCTGGAATATTGTTGACATCCCTGGAGGTCCGGTGGCCCTTCAACGGGCTCTGGATAGACTCTGGGAATGGTCTGTCTTATGATTGCTGCCCATAAACCAGGCAAAGTGTTCAGTGCTGCGTATCGGAGCATCTGCTTCCTCCACAAGTTATGTGCTCGATGGGAGTGAACTTCCTCATGTGACATATCCGGTTGATCTAGATGTCGTCCACTGTGCCACACTACACTCTGGAGACAACTGGAAGAATGCGGCTAGTAAAGAGTTCCGGATGTTGTGGTTTATCCGTCGTCGCTGATGTGTTTTGGAAGCTCTTCTTAGCTTTCGTGCGACCCCACCTATAACATTGCGTCCAGGGCTGTCCACCATGTCCTGTCCGGGACAAAATGGCACTGGAAAGGCTGTTGCGTATCGGTATTAGGTTGGTCAAGGGATTACGAGGGCAAACGTTCCCCGAGCGCCTACTTAGTTTGGGGATGCAGTCAATGCACTATCGAAGGATTAGAGGGAACCTCATCCTAACCTACCGTATTTTGACTGGGATGGTTGGCCCTGGTTTGTCCATGCTATTTACTCCTGCTAGATCATCTGGTCTCCGCGGGCATTGTACGAAGCTGGACAAATTGCGGTTCGGTCGATTTGGAGCGGAGACACGGTTATCACCTCGAGTCATCGAGCGATGGAACCTGCTTCCAGAAAATGTTGTCAATGAAGCTACGGTTAAGGGTTTGAGCGTCAACTAGACGCTCTTGGGTGGCAACACGAAACCTTTCCTTTTTCCAGGCTAATTCCCATCTTCATACTACGATTTCATTTTCTTTACTTTTCTTCGCCATTGGTATTATTCCCTTCTGTTAACTGATTTCCCCTACTCGCTTACTTTCGCTTTTTCTTCGTCTCTTACTTACCTCACGTAACTGACATAGCTGGGTCAGCTAATGCAAGGAACGTGGGCACTAAATTGGTGGACCAGGGTGTTTATGCGGGCGTTTTCCTTTAAGACCCCTCAAGAGGACGGAGCACCTCTATCAACTCCTGGATCGACGACCTGCTCACGAAGAAATACATACGGGAATTATCCTATCGTTTCAGTCCGACTTGAACTTGAACTTGAACAACAACGGAAGCATAACCATCTGAGA